CTAACACGTTACATTTCTACCGGTAATATATGAGGGTTCCAGTTTCTCCACACCATAGCCAACCCTTGGAATTGTCAGTCTTTTTTATTTTAGCCTATCTAGTGAGTATGTAATGGTATCTTGTTTCAGTTTGCATCTTCCAAATGACTAATTCTTGCTTATTTTTGAGAATTATTTTAATTAGTTTGTGTTCTTATCTAGTTGTAGGAATTCTTTATATATCCTGGGTTCAAGTTCTTTATCATATATGTTTTATAAATATTTTCCCCCAGTCTGTGGTTTGTCTTTTCAAGTGTTTAGTGGTCTCTTTTAAAGATCAAAAATGTTAAGTTTTGATCAACTCCATTTTACCATTTAAAAATTTTTATTAAAAAATATAGAAAACAAAAATAAAAAATGTTATTGTCCCTGCTTTTGGTGTCATCATAAGGTTTTTTAAAAAAAAATCCAGTTAGGGATGCCTGGGTGGCTCAGTTGGTTAAGCTGCTGCCTTCGGCTCAGGTCATGATCCCAGTGTCCTGGGATCAAGTCCCATATCGGGCTCCTTGCTCGGCAGGGAACCTGCTTCTCCCTCTGTCTCTGCCTGCCTCTCTGCCTACTTGTGATCTCTCTCTCTCTCTCTCTCTGACAAATAAATAAATAAAATCTTTTTAAAAAATCCAGTTAAATAAGTTATTCAAGACTCATAAGGATGCAAAAAAGTTTAAAGTAAAAAGATGAGAGAAATATGTATGGAATACTAACCAAAGCAAGCCAGAGTAAATAAATGTTAATGTTAGACGAAACAGATCTCAAGCAAAAAGCATTACTGGAAACAAAAAAGATGACTATATAATGATAAAAATTTCAAATCAGTAGGTAATTTAAATAATTTTAAATAATACTGAACAACAAGGAGAAATAAATGAATCCAATAGCAGACAGAGAGAATTTTAACACTAATCTCTTAGTAACTGATCTCTCAAGGAAACCAAAAGTAAGTAAACTACATCAAGATTTAAACACAATATACATGTTTTATGTAAAGGACATATAGAGAATTCTGTACAAAATAACTAGAAATTTCACAATCTTTTAAAAATCTCACAGAACATTTACAAAAAAAGGACCATCTACTGAGCCATAAAGTGAGTCTTAACAACTTTACAAAGGATTGGACGATATAGATCATTTTCCCTAATCATAATGCAATTAAGTTTAAATTCAACATAAAAAAGATAATTGGAAAAACTTGAAATGTTTGGAAATAAAAATTCTTTTAAGTAACTTTTGGATCACAGAACAAACTGTCATTAAAAATTATAAAACTTTTAGAACCAACCAATAACAAAAATAGCATATATCAAAATTTGTAGGATGTAGCTAAAACAGTACTTAGAAATGTGTAGAATTTTCTATGGCTGGCTCTCTATCACTTGGATTATGCTGTTTGATAAGAAATATCATGTAACTGTGATTAATTTGTTTGAATAGTAAATAAAAAGTAAATAAAACAGGAGATCAAAGTGGTGGTTTCTATTATGGCCTTCAGATACAATTTAATTATCCTGTCTTTATGCACTTCAGAAATTTCTAGTGGTAAGATCTAAGGACTAGTAATAATATCCCCAAGATCTAAGGGCTAGTAATAATACCCCCAGTAATAATATCCCTTCGGGCCAGTAAAACAAGACAACATGGGCACCTGGGTGGCTCAGTGGGTTAAAGCTTATGTCTTCAGCTCCGGTCATGATCCCGGGGTCCTGGGATCCAGCCCCACTTCGGGCTCTCTGCTCAGCGGGGAGCCTGCTTCCTCCTCTCTCTCTGCCTGCCTCTCTGCCTACTTGTGATATCTCTCTCTCTCTCTGTCAAATAAATAAATAAATCTTTAAAGAACAAACAAACAAACAAAAAACCAAGACAACAGGCCCAAAATGGAGTCTTTATGCTAAGCACCACACCACTAAAATGAGATTCATTTACAGTTTCAGCACTGGCAGAAATGGAATCTTAAACCAATCATTCAGGGATTGCCAGAACAACACTAGTTAAGTAATATGCCTGACAGACCCCTGCCATCCCCTAAAGGAAAGTAACCTTGAAATAACCAATCTACTTTGTCTAATGTAACTTCCTTCTTCTTATTCCCTTCTACCTATAAAAGTTTTTCATCTTATAAGCTCCTTGGAGCTCCTTTCTATCTGGCTAGGTTAGATGCTATATGATTCAAATAAATTTTTGCCCAAATAAGCTCTTTTTTTTAATGGAATGTAACGTTATTTATTTATTTGGGAGACAGCAAGTATGTGAGCAAGTGAGCAGCAGCGGGTGGGGCAGAGAAGAGAGAGAATCTCAAGCAGACTCCGTGCTGAGACAGAGCCCAGACGCAGGGCTCAACCTGAGGTCATGCCCTGAGCCAAAAACCAGGAGTCAAATGCTCAACCTACTGTAGCACCCCGGTACCCCATGAATAGACTCTTAAAAAAATTTAATACAGGGCAGCTGGGTGGCTCAGTCTGTTGAGCATCTGCCTTAAGCTCAGGTCACAATCCCAGGGTCCTGGGATAGAGTCCCATGTCGGCTTCCCTGCTCAGCATGAGTCCGCTTCTCCTTCTCCCTCTGCCATTCCCCTGGATTGTGTTCACTCTCTCTCTCTGCCAAATAAATAAAATCTTTTTAAAAAAATTTAATGTGCCTCAGTTTATCCATCTTGATGGATGTTTCAGACAAACAACAAAAGTTGGAGAAAATGATCTCTCCTGAGGAGACAACAACATTCAAGGTGATCTTGATATTGGTTATTATGCACACCAAGTGACCTTGACAGAGAACATGAGGGGATATGCATCTGGGGAGGGAACATAAGGGTCCTCTGCACTGACAGCCCTGCACACCGTCTCCTACCCCCCACACCACATACAAAAAAAGCTGAGGTAAGATAGGGAAAGACTGGCTCCCCACATTCCTTTCTAGATGATTCCTTTCCAGGAGGGTCAAAAGCATAGGCATTTTTGAGCCAGAGTGCTGGCAGACAGCTTTGATGGAATGGGAGAGTTAAATCAAGCCCCTTTGTCTCTTGCATCCATGAAGCTGGGGAATAGGACAGCCTGCGAGCCACTCACCCTGGAAAGCCAAAGGTGGGCTTTCTGGGCTGCTCTGATCTGCTGTCTAGGCAGTGTGGCAAATGCTTGCTTTTCCCCTTCCGTTCCCTTGGGGGTGATAGCAAAGGATGCCACTGTTGAGACAGGCTCTATGTGTAGGCAAATGAGTCCTCCACATGGATAAGGCCAGACCACCACGGAGAAAACCCACCTGAGACTGGGACCAAGGCTCCAGCTCAGAGAGAGGCTCATTCTAGCACCCGCAGTGTTTCTGCATCCTCAGCACACATTCGAGGCCTTGAGTCAAACTACCTGTCACCAGACACACCCAAGGAACCCCAGTACTGGCTGGCATGTATGTTTTGGGGATCTCTAAGACCACACGCACATTCAGGGATCACAAGATGAAGTTAGGGGACTCAGCACAGAGCTATACTCATGGTTAAGGTTTATTACAGTGAAAGGATTCATGACAGGATCAACTAGAGAAAAAGCCAATAACAGCAGAGTCTGGAGGCTTCTAATTGCAGTCTCCCACCAGCAGGAAACACACGAGTGTGTTCCTCTCTCCAGGAGTGAAAAATTCACTAAAGTGTGTACACTCTTTCTCCCCTGGGGAGAGCCTTAGCACTCAAGGTGTTTAATAATGTCTGGTCACGTCAGTCCCCTCCGCCCAGCAAAGATCATAATCCCAAACTCAAAGAAGGAAAGCAGGTGTTCGGCATAATTCTGCACAGTCTTGGCAGAGCAAACTATTTTTCTCAGTTAGCGGGCGGCTTAAGTGCCAAGCTCCCAGATGCCAGCCAAGGACGAACCTCAGGAACAGGACTTAATAAAGACAGCAGCTTGAGGCCTGCTATATTCTCTCTCTTGTACAACGTTTCCCATCCTGAAGTGCCCTTCCTTCCTATTTGTGTGGTTTTGCAGGGTACAGAGACATGACACAGAAAACAGGCTTCGCCTCCACTCCAGGAATTGTCCTGCTCTGTAGCACTCGGAGATCTGCAAGCTGTGTGTTCTCTCACAGTAGTAACTCCCAACTGATGGCCCCAGCAGCTTACAGCTGTCACAGACCAAAGAGCGGTAATGATTTTAACTCTGGCACTGAAAATGAGACTTATGGGACTTTATTTTTTTTTTTTTAAGATTATTTATTTATGTGAGAGATGGGGCGCCCAGGTGGTTCAGTGGGTTAAGCCTCTGCCTTCGGCTCAGATCATGATCTCAGGGTCCTGGGATCGAGCCCTACATCGGGCTCTCTTGCTTCCCCCTCTCTCTCTGCCTGCCTCTCTGCCTATTTGCAATCTCTGTCTGTCAAATAAATAAAAATTTTTAAAAAAGATTATTTATGTGAGATAAAAAGAGTAAGACAGAGAGAGCCTGAGCAGGGTGAGGTGCAGAGGGAGAAGCAGGCTCTCCACTGAGCAGGGAGCCAGATGCGAGACTTGATCCCAGGAATCCCAGATCATGACCCAAGCCGAAGGCAGATGCTCAACTGACTGAGCCACCCGGGCTACCCTAGAATATGTGACTTTATATATTTTATATATACTATATATATATATACATATATATATATATATTTATATGTATATATTTTTATATATTTTATAACAACTTTGCTTGGAAGCCTTTATCTGAAAAAGATATCACAGTCAGCTATGTGCCCTATGACCCCACCTTAAGGTCTGTATTAGCTTATAAGGGGAACCTCTTTGGAGACTCTGAATAAATGGTGGGCGTTCTTTATCAACAAATTTATATCAAGGGCTTCTTATGCCAGAGGATATTCCTGGTGCAGGCGATAAAGCAGTCAACAAAACAGACAAAAACCTCTTGCAATCATGAGTTCATAATCCATAAGCTGGGAGCAGAGATACAAGCAAACTCAGTACCTAGGACAAGGAAAGTGCTCTGTACCTATTCTGGGCCAGCGGTGCTTCCTCACTCCTCCCTGGTCGGAATGTAAACCTTCCATAGGTGGAATCCATGGTTTTTGGTTCTTCCCGGGACGAAACAGAACCTGTGACAACAAAAACTTTGTGGGACTGGAGATATGCAGGACTTCCTTGTGCAGAGCAGCACCCCAGAACTGAAGGGAGGGGGCAAGGTGACAGTGAGATCTGCTGCTTTTCCTTCCAGCAGAGGGGAGCACCTGTGCACGAGCACGCACGTGTAGTCTCTTCCCATCCACGTGAAATCTACCTGCAACGTTGCAGGTTCTTATCACTCAGGGTGAGAATGTTTTATTCTCCCTCTCTTCACCTACTTTATATTAAAAAAAAAAAAATAGGGGTAGTTCATTACAAGTGAAACACTCAAAAACAGATGAGCATTCCGCAGGCTACTCTGGTTCCTACTAAACCCTGGGTGCCCAGCAGTGGACCGCTGTAGAGGAAGGACATCAAAAGAATGTATGAGGGGTGCCTGGGTGGCTCAGTGGTTTAAAGCCTCTTGGCTCAGGTCATGATCCCAGGGTCCTGGGATCGAGCCCCTGCATCGGGCTCTGTGCTTAGCAGGGAGCCTGCTTCCTCCTCTCTCTCTCTCTCTCTCTCTCTCTCTCTCTCTGCCTGCCTCTCTGCCTACTTGTGATCTCTGTCAAATAAATAAATAGAATCTTAAAAACAAAATGTACGACACACAGTAACTTTAAAAAGTGTCATGGCTTTATCTGAATCATATGAACAGAAAACCTTCACAAAAATCCTGAAGATTAGTTTAGTCAACCAATTCAGTTGTAAATGCAGAGATCAGCATCCAGACAAAATATCACTTAAACTCTCCCTGCTTTCTGCTGTCTTTCTTATTAAAGACAATTCCACCCACCCCAGTTACAGTTGGTGTCCTTACAGGTTCAGGAAAAAGCCCTTGGAACAGTCCAACGCCCGTCTGTTTGAAATATGGCATGAGAGTCATTTCTGACTTTAAAGAAGTGAAAGTGTGCTTGCCTAGAAATCAAGTATTTCTGAATAATATCATGACGGTTTTAATCTTTGAGTCAGGATTATACTGAAAGTAACTCTCTGTAAGTATTGGAGTGTGTACCTCATGTGGCTGGAGCTGTTTTTACTTGAACAAATTCTTCTAAATATTACCACCAAAGCATCACTTTTCAAATACATTCGAAAGCCTCCCTTGCCATCTTACCTCTCTCTACACATGGCTCCCGTGGAGGGGCCACCTCTGAGCCACTCTGTGGGCAGTGGCCTGGCAGGAGCCCCCTCCCCGCAGCCCTGAGCACAGTCGGACTTCTGCACAGCAGTGGCCCCGGCAGCATCATCGAACCTACCAGAAGAGAAGATACCTGGGTGGAAGAAAATGTTTCTTAGGCAACTGACAGCATGACTGTGAAGAGAGTTAAAATGATCAGCCTCAGTGGCCTCTCAAATGCTGCACTGTTTGGACAGAAGCCCCAAGCCACCTTGCACGGAAAAAATCTGTTCCAACATGACACTTCATTTCAATATTCACTTAGTAAGAGAAAATGAAGGCTGTATGTACTCGGATCAATAGGAAAAAATTACAGCAAGGTTAATTTGAACCATACAGCTGAATGATATCATACAAGAGAACTGCTATACTGAAAGTATTTTCTTTCAGTGTAAGCCAGTGTATCTCGAAAGAATGCATTTTCCCTCTGCTTCAAAGCCAGCTGGTCTCATCACCTTAGAGCACTGTCCCCTACCATGTCCACCCACATCCCACCCCCGTGCCAATACGGCAGCCCCCAAATGAAAGATAATCTGTTAAGCAAAGCAGTTGCACTGATATTCATTTGCAGGAAGGAAAATGGGAAAAGGCTGTAGAACCTGCTTACCAGGCAGTAAGCTTTTCATCCTTTTTCTCCCCCTCCATCCACAAGATTATCCCAACCCACTGTGACTTCGCAGCAGGAAGGTGTCAGCTGCCAGCATGTGGGAAATGCAGCCAAAGGAGTCCTCCACAGAACCGCTGATGGGGCAGTCCTGGGCCATCCCAAAACCACCTACAAAGAGAGGAAACGCAGGATTATTTGAACCAGCTGACCTATGAACAATTAATTCTTCAGCAAAGAATTAAGGCAGAAGAGAGCAATAACCCACAACTAGAATGGGGAAATAACATTTCTTTAAGTCTTCTGGGGTCAGCAATGATTTAATTAATTCGTTAACTTCATTTTTAAAAGTCAGAATAGCAACCTGTATTTGTCAAAGTTGCTCCAAGATCCTTTTGTAAAAAGCTGGTGCCAAATGCTGAAACACAAATCCAATCCTTAGGGAATTTACATGGCTTCAATGCAGCCCTCGTAGAAAGTGGATTTTATGGACATAAAGGATTTATATTAACCAAGTTATAATAATAACAAACATTTTGCATCAACAGCAAAATTCTGAAGACACAAGATGGGATACCATCATGATAATAATTTTTGCTAAATATTTCAAGTGTGGTATAAAGTAGAAATATATTTTTTAAAGAGCACTTGAGATAACTTCATTCATCCTAAAAACAAAGATATAGATTTCTGTATTAGACTAAAAGATTTTTTTTTAATCACTGTAAGTTTTTTATTGATTTACGAGTAACACCAATTTAGATGTGAAAACTAATTTTAACATCAAACCTCAAGGGCAATAAAATTTACAAAGTTGTCTCAGGGCATACCTATTTGCAGAGAAAGAAGAAAAGAATAAACCTACAAGACACCAGCAGCTCAAATAAAATTAATCTCCTTTACGTCCGCCCCAAGTTTTATAAAGAGATATTTAAATTTATGTTGTATATATAGTATGTAGCAAGTCTCCAAAAATGGTGCCTGATATCCATGCCTCCTGGTATTTTTTCCCTATTGTAGACTCCTGTCTTTGAATTTAATCTCCCTTTTGATCAATGGAACATGGCAGAGGTGACACTGAGGGTCATCTGTGGCTAGAGCATAAGAGGAAAGCCTGGGTCTCCTGGAATGCTGTTCTAAAGGATGCCAGCTCTCATGTGAGAAGTTCAAACGCCCAGGGTCTATAGGTTCCCAGGAAGCCCAAGCTTGCCAGAGGGAATGGCCAGATGGCTGTGCAGCCACGTCTCAGGTGTTCCAGCTGATCCCAGCTCAGGCACCAGACACTGGCATGAAGACACCGTGGTGCTGTCTTCACCAGTGATACCTTCAGGTGTCTGCAGCTCCAGTCACCATGCCGCTTGCCAGAGAGATCTCAAGCGAAGCTCAAGCTAAGCCTAGTCAACCAACAGAACCAGGAAAGATAATAACTTATTGTTGAAGGCGCTAATTTTGGTGGTACTTGTTACCCAGCAATATATCCCTGCAATACTTGGTATGTAAAACAGCAGTAAGCAACCTGTTCAGATGGACCTGTAAGTATCCACAGCAACACACTCCTTATCTGATTCTCACTGTAGGACATCTCCAAACCACCTTCAAAGATTTGAAGAATATTGTGAACATTTATTTTTTTTTTAAGATTTTATTTATTTATTTGAAAGAGAGGCAGTGAGAGAGAGCATGAGCTAGGAGAAGGTCAGAGGGAGAAGCAGACTCCCCGTGGAGCTGGGAGCCCGATGTGGGACTCGATCCCAGGACTCCGAGATCATGACCTGAGCTGAAAGCAGTCGTCCAACCAACTGAGCCACCCAGGCGTCCCTATTGTGAACATTTAAAATAATCTTAAAATAGGGGTTGCCTGGGTGGTTCAGTAGGTTAAGTTGATCCTGGCACTCTGGGATCAAGCCCTGAGTCAGCTTCCCTGTTCGGCGGTGGGGGGGTGGGAGGGGAGGCTGCTTTTCCCCTTCCCTCATGCTCTCCCTCGCTCTCTCTCAAATAAATAAATAAAGTCTTTAAAAAAAAATAGTAATCTTAAAATAGTGGTGCCTAGATGGCTCAATCCGTTAAGCAACTGTCTCTTGATTTTTGGCTCAGGTCAAGATCTCAAAGTCATGAGACTGAGCCGGGCATCAGGCTCACGCTCAGGGAGGAGTCTGCTTGAGATTCTCTCTCCTCTCCCTCTGCCCCTTCCCTGGCTCCTGTGTGTACACGGGCATGTACGCATTGTCTCTCAAGAAAGAAAGAAAGAAAATCTTAAAAAATAGTAATCTTAAAATAAAACTGATTTTAACAGTTTAGGCAAACTAAACAAACTAAAACTGTTTAGTTTGAAAAAAAAGATCAATACATAACATACAGGTCCTCATGAGGGGATTAAATAAGAAGTAAAAAAATCTAAGACAATTATACTTGTAAATCAATCATTTATTTTAAAAATGTGCAATCACCTATCTATAAAGTGATTTCCACACTGAAAAGGTCCAGAATCAGGTAACCCTCCACTGTGATTTCCAAAGTCTCAAGGCCTCAAAACGTGGGCTGCCTACCACGTGCCACCTGTCCCCTGTCACCTACCTGGGAGCTGAATCAACACCTGTGCCGGGACAAGAGCTTCAGGTGATTCACATATCTATTAAACTTAGAGACATGCTTGTATAGAGATGTGGTTCCCAAACTTATCTGCATATGAGAATCATCTGGGAATCTCAAAAATTCCAAAGTCCAGGCCATAGGTACACAGGCATTGATGGTTTTAAAGCCCTTCAGGTGAGTCCAGGTACAGCCAAGTCTGTGAACCGCTGGTCACTCTTGATAGAGTACTGGTTCTCAAATTTGGCTGCACAGTGGGAGAACCTGTGGAACATCAAAAAGCACTACCATCTGTTTCCACCCCCAGAAAGTCTAATTCGAATGGTCTCAGGTGTGACCCAGGAGCTGAGACTTTTTAAAGGCTTCCCAAGTGACTTCCAAGTGCAGCAAAGTTTGAGAACCGTGACCTAGAGCCTGGCACAGAGGCTTCAAAATGGTAGTTAGGGCTGCACTGCTCTTTCTGGAAAGGGGTTTAAAGTCAGTGAACATTAATTAAAATGAACAGTTGGTCTCACAGCTTTCAGCTAACTCACTGGTATAATGACAGCTTCAAGCTTGCTGGAGTTCAGGTCTGCCAAATCTTGTATGTCCCCACGGGCTCTCCTGGCACTTTCTCCAGCACATTTCTCTTCTGCTGGGCTCTCTTTCAAGTGATTAACAATGTACATCTGCTCAGCATTAGGAGCAAATAGCTTCACCTTCAAAAATAGAAATAAAAACAAATGATGTCATTGCCTCCATGAAAATAACCAAGCAAATCAATCTCAAACCAGGAAGGAAAGTCAGAAAACCACTAAGTAATTCCATATGCCTTCAGGGCCAACACCAGCTACAAATAGCAGCCACAAGGAAGAAACTGCAGGGGACTTCTCCAGGGGGTGGTGAGCTCTCAATTACCTTCTAGAAAGAAAGTAAAACAGAAAGAGGCTGGTTTCCAAATACACATATACACATATCTATACACACACAGAGAGAGTAATTAATATATGTGTACGTGTGTATACATATGTATGTATATATACATACATATACATAGACCTTAAATAACACAACACCTATGCAGCCAAAAATTCATGTATAATTTTTTTTTTTAAGATTTTATTTATTTGACAGATCACAAGTAGGCAGAGAGGCAGGCAGAGAGAGAGAGGAGGAAGCAGGCTCCCTGCTGAGCAGAGAGCCCGATGTGGGGCTCGATCCCAAGACCCTGGGATCATGACCTGAGCAGAAGGCAGAGGCTTTAACCCACTGAGCCACCCAGGAGCCCCCATGTATAATTCTGACTACCCAAAAACTTAACTACCCATAAGCCTGTTGACATAAAGCCTTACTGATAACATAAACTGTTAACACATATTTTGTATGCTATATATATTATACACTGTAGCCTTACAAGGAAGTAAGCTGAAAAAGAAAATGTTAAGAAAGTCATAAAAGAGGGCATCGGGATGGCTCAGTTAAGTGTCTTCCTCCAGCTCAGGTCATGATCCCTGGGTCCTGGGATTGAACCCTGCATTGGGCTGCCTGCTCAGCAGGAAGCCTGCTTCTCCTCCCTCTCCCACTTCCCCTGCTTGTGCTCCCTCTCTCGCTCTTTCTCTGTCAAATAAATAAATAAATAGAATCTTAAAAGAAAGAAAGAAAAAGAAAACCATAAAAGAAAATTTATTTATAGTACTATATTGTATTTATATTATAAAATTCTATGGATAGGGAGCCTGGGTGGCTCAGTGGGTTAAGCCGCTGCCTTTGGCTCAGGTCATGATCTCAGGGTCCTGGGATCGAGTCCCACATCGGGCTCTCTGCTCAGCAGGGAGCTTGCTTCCCTCTCTCTCTCTCTCTCTGCCTGCCTCTCCGTCTACTTGTGATCTCTGTCAAATAAATAAATAAAATCTTTAAAAAAAAAAAATTCTATGGATAAGTGGACCTACGCAGTTCAAACCCATGTTGTTCAAGGGTCAACTGTACAGGCCTTTTTTTTTTTTTTTTAAGATTTTATTTATTTATTTGACAGAGATCACAGCTAGGCAGAGAGAGGAGGAAGCAGGCTCCCTGCCGAGCAAAGAGCCCAACGCGAGACTCGATCCCAAGGCCCTGGGATCATGACCTGAGCAGAAGGCAGAGGCTTTAACCCACTGAGCCACCCAAGCGCCCCCTGTACATGCTTTTTAAAGAGATGGAAGAGAGGACTTGATTTTATTTTAATATTTTATTTACTTATTTATTTGTCAGAGAGAGAGAGAGAGAGAGAGGAAGAGCACACGCAGGAGGCAGAGGGAGAAGCAGGCTCCCCACTGAGCAGGGAGCCTGTGCTGGACTCTACCTCAGGACCCTGGGATCATGACCTGAGCTGACGACAGACACTTAACCAACTGAGCCACCCAGGTGTTCTGAGAGGATTTGATTTTATAGATAGAAACACAGAGGGCTCAAAACCATGGAGAATTGATTAAATTTATCTTTAAAGTCTTTCCAAAGCTGGGATTCTCAAGCCTGCTGAATATTAGAATCACCTGGAAAGGCTGAGGCCCCATCACATGGATTCTCTGGGACTGAAGCATTAGCTTGGTTACTGGTATGTCTTAAAATCTCCTGAGGTGATTCCATCAATTGTCAGAGTTGGCAACCACTGATCTAAGACAAGTAGAAAATAAAACTCACAAATTCAGTTAAAATTTCAGGGGTTTTATTTATTTATTTTTAAGATTTTATCTATTTATTTGAGAGAGCACAAGCGAACAAGAGAGGGGAAGAGGGGAAGAGGGAAGAGGAAGAGACACCCCGCTCAGCGGGGAGCCTGACGCAGGGTTCAATCCCAGAACCCTGGGATCAGGGTCCAAGCTAAAGGCAGACACTTAACTGAGCCACCCCCACCCAAGAACTGCTAAAATCTAAGGGGTTTTAATGTAAAAAACCCAAAGCAGACCATTTGGTCTTAGTTGACCCACTTCCACACAATCAACCCAACCAAGCTTTGGATTATCACCCCCAGTCTGCCATCAGAAATAATTCCTCTTTCCCCAACCACTGGACCCTGCAGGGGCAGAGTCATGAAGATTAGGAGGCAAGGAAGGAGGCTCAAGTAGGCACCTATATACTGGGGCCCTTGGTGTCATACTTTCTCCATTGACATCCACCTTACTTGGACTTGCAGGTCCACTTCTCCAGGAACTGGATAAGGCTGGTCTGAGTCAAACGTCCCTTGACTTACTGGGAAGGTTTTAGCCCCCTGTTATTAACCTTTGTATTTGATTAAAATATATATTAATAGTCTAAACATTCTCTCTTCCCTGTATTTTTGGTTTTGTTTTGTTTTTTAAAGATTTTATTTATTTATTTGACAGACAGATCACAAGTAGGCAGAGAGGCAGGCAGAGAGAGAGAAGGTAGGAAGCAGGCTCCCCGCTGAGGAGAGAGCCCCATGTGGGGCTAGATCCCAGGACCCTGGGATCATGACCTGAGCCAAGGGCAGAGGCTTTAACCCACTGAGCCACCCAGGCGTCCCTGTATTTTTGGTTTTACAAAACTGAGTAATATCTCCAATCCATGTGATAGATCCATGGGAAAGATTCTAAGCACATATATAGCCCATTATTAATAAAAAGGGAAAAAAAGCTTAGAACATTCTGATGGGCCAGAAAGATGAAAAAAAAAATGTGGACTGGTTTTTAAACCAGTAATTCTGGAAACAGATTGACTTGCAGTTGCTTTGAGAAATTAATCGGATCTACCTGCCCAATGTGCAGGTGAAGATAAAAATTTAAATTTCACCTAAACTCTACCTTTCTCCAGAGAATCCTATAACTCTATTTTTCCCTTTGAGGAGATGCCATACAGTTCCACTGGTGGGCGAGAGCTCAGTGGTTGATAAACATGATTTTATCAGACTACATTGATGTTCTGAGTACTCTTAAACTGAGCAAGGACCCAAGGGAAACCGATTGGATTATAATTCAATCTGTTTTTTTTTTCAAGATTTGAAAAACCATGAACTAGGGGTGCCTGGGTGGCTCAGTGGGTTAAGCCTCTGCCTTCTGCTCAGGTCATGATTTCAGGGTCCTAGGATGGAGCCCCGTGTCGGCCTCTCAGCTCATCAGGGAGCCTGCTTCCCCCTCTCTCTCTGCCTGCCTCTCTGCCTACTTGTGATCTCAGTCTGTCCAAATAAATAAGTAAACTATTTTAAAAAGTAAAAAAAATAAAAAATAAAAACCATGAACTAGAGAGAAGTCAGTATAATGAGAGATCAGGCAACAACAGTCTATACGCATCTTTAGCCTGGGATACTGGGGTCATAGCCAAAAGGAACAGAAGGCAGAACCAGACCAGAGCAGATGGGAGCTACGGAGAGGCTGAGTTAGGGCTAATATGAGGGACTGCTTTCTCACCATTAGAGCTCCCTACACCCGGACTGAAGTGTCTGCACTCCCAAGAGAGAAGATCCTCACCACTCACCACGGTGAACTTGAAGCTTGTTTCTATAGCTCCAGGAGGTCCTGAATAGGATGAGAAGCTCCCCTGTGTTCCTCTAGCATATCCCATTATTTGTAAACTATTACTTCGGAGAGCTGTATTAAGCCAAGCTCATGTAAATACCCACGGGGAGTCCTGCGGGTACCCTACCAAACTGAACATCACATTGCAGCTGCCATAGCTAGGATGTGTTGCCCACCCCCCTTCACACCCCCACCCCCCGCCCCGCCCAACTTGTTCAGGTCTTTGAAGAGGTCATTTGAGCCTCAGTGATGCCGAACTGAGCCGCGGTATGCAGGAAAGCTAGGACGGCAACCACCTAAACGCTTAGGTAAGTGGTGCCCCGCCTGAATTTCCACAGAATTCTCCAACCTGGGGCAGCAAGCCGGCAAAGGTGGGGGGCCTGGGGGTTAACGAATTCCCATTAGCCCTCAGAAGGCCTAGTAGGCCTGAGGAAGCCAGTGCCGCTCCCTTCACCCCAGCATGGTTCATGCGGGCGCCTATGGTCGCGGCAGCCCCCTCACTTATTCCCATACGCTTCCAGATACTGTGATGGTTCACAAGTGCTGTGGGTGAAGTGAAGGCAGGATGCTCTCTCGGGAAACAAGTGACAATACGTTATAACGCTTTTAATGTACTATTTATGGACATAAGTCAGTATCTTTGTAAAAAAGTGTGGCAGGCCACGGGTATCTCACCAGAAGCAGGGCGGTCTTGAGGTGGCTCAAGGGTCAGAGAAGGGTACGGCAGAACCTCCTCCCCCACGGCAGTGGTAGATCCCAACAAGGAAGAACATCTGGGGATAGGGGCGAAGTGGATTAAACGGCGTTTAGAGTGGAGTGGTATCGCGGGGTAGGACCAGTCATTCCTCCATTACTGTCGTCCTCACCGCACCACCACCGCCAAAGGAGGATTCTCTCACTCAAATGTTTGCGGTCACCTAGTCTGGACCCTGGGTAGCGGGGCGAGAGTTCCGTGCTAGAGACTCCAAAGGATGGGCCCAAAGCTGGATTTTTTGTTGTTGGTTTGGTTTGGGTGGTCGTTGTTGAGCGGAGGTCGGAAAATAGCTCTAAAGAAGGGGTGAACTTTAAACGGAGACGCGGGGCCAGAAGCACGGGCGTTCTGGGTCCGTTCTTTTAAAAAGGAGGCTCCGAGGCCCGGATGGAGCGCGAGCGGAACCCAAACGCCTTCCCGGTCGGCGAAGTTAGAAAGTCGCCACCGTGCAGGCCAGCCACAGCGGACAGGAAAAAGAAGCGCACTCAGGCTGGCGTCGGGTATCGCGGGGCGGAGTCTCCGGCCGGGGAGAGGGCGGGGCGGGCCGGACCCTAGAGGCCGAGTCCCGGGTTGGCGCGGCGCGGGGGCGTGGCTCCGCGCATGCTCAGCTCTCGGGCGGTCCGCGTCGCCCGGCTTGGGAGGTGCAGGAAGCACCACGATCCGCGCCATGGTGCGGGCGGGGAACGCCGACCCTGGGGTCCCGAGGCAGCGGGCCGCGGGCGCGGCGCCAGGGTGCGCGCTTTGGAGGTGGGCCCTGGCGCTGCTGTGGCTGGCGACAGCCGCGGCCGGCCCCTCCCGGCGCCAGTGGCCCGTGCCCTACAAGTGAGTGCGCGCGGCGCGCGGGCGGGGCGGGCGCGCGCACGGCTGGGGCTGGCGCGGAGGGGAGCCTGGGGCGGAGAGGCGCTCCCGGCGCGGTGGGAGACGGAGTTCAGCCGGTCGGAGTCGCCGCTGCCTGCCGCTCGCCGCCCTGGGGCCTTTCTTCGTCTCCTAACACTTGAGCAGATTTCTAGGTGATGAAGGCTCTGGACAGTCCCTAATCAGGGAAGAAACGGGGAGTAATGTCATTTTATTGAGTGACTTTTAGATGCAAGTAACCGACTGTTTGAATAGTTTGGGGAGACTTTGAATATCGCGTTTATTACTTAACGCCCTGCACGCCGTTAGTTATCGTGAGCGCGTACCCATTGGCACAGTTTACAGCATGACCTACTGGCCTGGGTTCTCTGGGACTTTACGTTTTTATCCCCCAAAGTCACGCGTCCTTGGGCCCAGGCACCCCGGGACAGTTGGTGACCTCGTTTGTCCCCCGTTTCCAGTCTGCGTGTAGGATGTGGTCGGAAGACCAGGATACAGACTGCAAACCTGTGACGATGATTGGAGCCTCTGACGTAGAAGAGTATTTACACGGCCTAAGACGACCAGGTGGTTAAACACACAGAAAGAAAACGTGCTGTTAACAATCAGGGAGGGCTTTTGAAAACGCACAACTATATCGGAGGACAGAACAGTGAGTGGGGTGTCAGGTGAACGCAATGGTCAGGAGAGAACTCCGGGTTCCAAGCTGGGCACCACCATCACTAGCTGTTCCGTACTCCGGATCTCTGTGACCTCGGGTCCTGAGTTAGCGGGAACAGTAGCAGCATTTACCCCCAGGTTTGTTAGGAGGATTACATCCAGTAAATGTCAGCTATTGTCAAGCCCGGATTAGTGTATTCTGCTCACGGAAAAGTTTGCACCACTTCCTTGTTTTGCTTGATATATATAAAAGGAGAAGTTTGGGATTTCTTGGGAAAAAAATTCAATAAAAGGTTCATAAGAAATAAAAAAATTAAATGTTCAATAAAATAAGGGATTGTAAATCCAAAACTGCTTCACTTAAAATTAGGGCGAGGTATGGACTATAACTCCATGATTCTATAAAAGTTTCTAATCTCAAGTGAATATAATAAAATTTAACTTTATTAAGCTCATACAAATTATGCTTTTGAAATTACCTTTGACCTGCAAGAGGTTTAGCTGTGACCAAGTGAAAACTGTATATAGTTATGTATTTGTTTAAACCAGATGAGCACCTGTAAACAGGTAAGAAGTATACCTGAGTCTCATAAACTTTGTGTGGGGTGGGGGATAATATTTTTGGCTAACATCAGTATTCTAACTTCTTAAAATAGACATTTTTGTTGCTGTGTTAGGGTTATAAGAGAACAGATCTTTCTAAAACCTTAGAGATCCAGGATTCCTCGAGGGTAGATGGAGGCAGCCTCTTTCTTTCATCGGTATCTTCCAGTGCCACATACTGAAGGTGACCGGGGGTATCTGCTACTACTGTCCACACCCTAGCCCTACTGCCACGGCCTTCTCTGGGGTATTCTAGTTACATTATTACAGAAATCTCCTACCTGACCTCTGCCTTAACTTCCTCTCTCTCACTGCTGTCTTCTAACTCATAGAATAAGGTTTGTTTTCTGGCAAATCCAGTCAGACCAGGTCTACTACTTAAAATCCTTGAACCTCACTCTGGGGCTCACTCCTCACCAGTCGCCAGTCGTAGCTTCCAGGGGTTGCCCATCTTGCTGCATCAGTGCAAAATGACAGTCCCTGCCTCCCTCTTCTGCCAGGAAGGCTGAATTCCTCATTCATAGTCTTATTTACTTCCTGTCTTATAATACTTAATGTTTTCTCTATTTTTGTGTCCTGACCTTCGGAAGTATTTTAATACCTAAGCCAGGTCTTCATCTCTTTCTTTGCCCTCCTCATCTCCACATCAGGTAGAAGTGATTTCTTTTTTGGGCCCATAGGACTCTGAAGGGAACCTCATTTTAATTTTGTTTTCCTCCTTCCTAGTATAGCGTCTGACTCATAGTAGAGCTTGAATAAAATTGGTTGAAGGATCATTGGTCAATTTCCTTATTTAAAATTGTTTATAAAGATTTTATTGGCATTATTAAACAATTCATGAACTGGGGCCACATCCCACCTAGCAAATGAAGGGGCACTCCTGTTGGTTAATTCTTAAGAAAATAGAAAATATATTCTATTTCATCATAATTATTTTGGAATCATCTTAACATGGAGTGTTTAGATAATTAAATGTCACTTGAAAATACTACTTTATTCAGTAAATATTTGTCTACTAAATAAGACCTGATCTGTCAACATTTTAAGATACAGCCCCCATTTTCAAGATTTTCACAGTGGGAGGAGGAAACTAAGAAGCATGCATTTATCAAAATGCTTTTAATGTATCATTTGCTATCAAAGCCATCATTGTTGGGCGCCTGGGTGGCACTCAGTGTCTGCCTTCAGCGCAGGTCATGACCCAGGGGTGCTAGGATCAAGTCCCAGATCAGGCTCCCTGCTGAGTGGGGAACCTGCTTCTCCCTCTCCCTCTGCCTGCTGCTTCCCTTGCTTGTGCTCTCTCTCTCTACTAAGTGAATAAATAAAAATAAATAAAGACACCATTGGTATTTGTTCACAGGATAACAGAAAATGTTTAAACACCATGGGCTAAAATTTTGAATGTTTTCTCTGAAAAATGTTATTGACATTTTCTGGATTCGAAAATGTGCAAGAAGAACCAAATTCCTATTCGAATCTAAGTTAGTGGTTTCTTTTTCTCTATTAGACGCTTTTCCTTCCGTCCAGAACCAGATCCTTATTGTCAAGCTAAATACACGTTTTGTCCAACTGGCTCACCTATCCCAGTTATGAAAGGTGATGATATCATTGAAGTCTTTCGGTTACAAGCCCCAGTATGGGAATTTAAATACGGGAACCTCCTGGGACACTTGGTAAGGCTGCGTCTTGATCTTATAACTTTGGTTAATTAGATGATTTATTAAGTAGATTTGAGGGAATAATTGCCATTCAAAGGGCTAATTGGAGATAATGTTTAATTGGTGTTCTTCATGTTTAAAATGAATAGTCAGTGGGGCACCTAGGTGACTCAGTTGCTTAAACATGTGACTCTTGGTTTGGGCTCAGGTCATGATCTTTGGGTCATGAGTTCCAGCCCTGCCTCAGCTCTGTGCTTGGGGGCAGACTTGGCTTGAGATTCCCTCTCTCTCCCTCTGCCCCACACCTCTCTCTCAAGGGCATGCACGTATTCGCAAGCTTGTGCACATGCGCTTGCTCTCTCTCTTTCTCAAATAAATAAAATCTTTAAAATGTGTAGTCAAAAAATATTACTGTATTTTGTGATCCTGACAATAACAAATGCAGTTGCTCTAATCCTTTTTGATTGTTCCGTATCCATACCCCACTCCTGTACCCAGCTCTTGGAAAGTAAGAAAGGAAGCCCAGAGGAAGGGGCAAGGCAGGTGGGAAACATTTTACTTCCGGTCCCTGCTGTACACACTTCTGCTAGGATCGTCACCGCTTGACCCACTAATTCTCCTGCAAAGTATATAGACTGCCTGAGACTGTGGCACGGAGCTTCTCAAACCAACTCTAAGGGAATTAAGAGCATGTCCATATAGCAGACATCCTTACTATCTGAGATAGGCAGCAGTGGTCAAAACCAGAGTGGAGGGGCACCTGGGTGGTTCAGTGGTTTAAAGCCTCTGCCTTCGGCTCCTGTCTTGGTCCCAGGGTTCTGGGATTGAGCCCCAAATTGGGCTCTCTGCTCAGCGGGGAGCCTGCTTCCTCCTCTCTCTACCTGCCTCTCTGCCTGCTTGTGATCTCTGTCCGTCAAATAAATAAATAAAAACTTTAAAAAAAATGAAAAAAAGAAAAACAGTGGAATGGTGAGTGCTGTGAAATGTGTAAGCCTGATGATTCACACACCTGTACCCCTGGGGCAACTAATACATTATATGTTAATAAAAATAATGGGAAAAAAAAAAAAAGAGTGGAGGAGAGCCTGGAATTTGAGGAGCCACAGAGTGGACACAAGAATAGCAACATGGAAGAGGAATGGCTGAGCAGTTGTTCTACCTACCTGAACGCAGTTGTGTTATATTAACATTTTCTCCCATTTGGTTCCTGGACCAGTGGGTCCTTCACAAATGCTTTTATACATGTATGGTTTTTACACAGAAAATTATGCATGATGCCATTGGATTCAGAAGCACTTTAACTGGCAAGAACTTCACAATGGAATGGTATGAACTTTTCCAACTTGGAAACTGTACATTTCCCCATCTCCGACCTGAAATGAATGCCCCTTTCTGGTGTAATCAAGGAGCTGCCTGCTTTTTTGAAGGAATTGATGATATTCACTGGAAGGAAAATGGGACGTTAGTTCTAGTAGCAACCATATCAGGTAAGTTTCAAAAAATATGGCAGTATCTGACGATTACATCAATATCCAAATTAAAAAAAAAACTACTTCCATTGAGACATTTCAGTCATGTTCTACTCTCGATATCAGTTTACAAAATGTACTTCTGGAAGCAATAACTTTTGACCCAAACTATTGCCCATGCCAAGTTCACCTTTAGGTGATGGATAGTGTCTCTCCTCTATTCCATGGTTAAAAAAAAAAAAAAATGATAAAATATTTTCTGCAATTAAATTGGACCTTCTAAATGAAATGAAGAAAATCCACAAAATGCTTGACAAAATAACTGATTAAAGGTCCTGTTCACTGTATCTGGAAAAAGACTTTTAGTGATGATACCATATTTTTACGTCAAGAAATATTAATAGCTGTCTCTCATGGGGCCTTACTCAGGGCTCAGCAGCGGTTCCAAGTGCTTTATCTATATATCACATCATTTATTATCATAACCACCACCCCCCGAAATAGATACTGTTATTCTGCATCCCCCCTCATTTTACAGATAGGGAAACTAAAGCACGAAGTGGTTAAAGTCACACAGCTGATAAGTGGGATTCCAGCCCTGGCAGTGAAGCCCTATTGACCATTTTCTTAACGACTTCGCACCATTGCTTCCCAAAATATACGTGATCTTACAAGACTTGAGGCTCCTCGAGCAATTGAAATATTTTATCTCTAAGATTTTCTTAGATTTTTTTACTTTTGAATGTATTGGAAAGTTGCTGAAACACTTAGAATTTTGCTTCATGTGTTGTGTTGTTGGGTAGTGATGAAAAAAGTTCAGAGCTTTCATTGGAAACTGGTGTGTGATCTTGGGTGACCTTTTACTTTCTTGACTCATTACCTCATGTGTAGAGTGGGGATGAGACTACCATTGGATCCTAGAGGTAGGCAGCTTGCCCATGTGATTCATAGAGCTCTGCATTATAATTGTTGCTCTCCGAGAAAGTGGAAATAATCTGGAAGGAAAGCCCTGTTTGTGAAAAGAATTTTGCAGTCAACCACAAGACTTGAGGATGTTAACATGCTTTCTACTTTGATAGCTCTTTGCACAGCATTTTGGATTATGTTATCTCACAGTTCAGTGAGGAAAGGAAAATACTCTTCTTTAATATGTAAGAAATTGAGGGTCAATCAGGTAGCATGACTTACCAGGCTCTTACAATCACAGGTCTGGTTGTAGAACCAGGGATAAAATGTCATGTGGGGATCTTCTAACTATAGTCCATGCTGTTATCTGATCTTCCTTACTGCCTTCTAATTGATATGCCCCAAACCATCCCAACAATATCAAAGTCCATTTCTCTTTTAACTGTGCTCGGTGTTCATACTCTTCTTTTCATTCCAGGTCAGTTACATTTCTTCTTTCTCTGTCCACCTACCTTACTCTCTGAAAATCCTGACAACAGTGTATGATATGAACAAGTGATCATTATTTCATGTAAAATAGTTTGTAATATGCTAGTACTTAAATCTTTCAAGTTATCCTTCTGCTTTGTGATTAATCCTGTTCATTGATGTTTTCTCATGTTACAGAAGTGTTTTGAAGTATTCTTATCTCTTAATTTTGGCAGTGACTTTTTAAAGTTGAAGAACACTAAGAACGGTATCCCCAGTTCTAAGAAAACAGGCTTTATATTATTCCACAATTTTAATTCCATAAATTGATCAAAGCAGCCACTCTTCATTTTATAGGACACGAAGTATTGATTTTATAGACTCAAGTTTGAGCACTTAAGAAAGGTTCACACAAGGTAACAAGGTGAAATGTTGGGGCCAGGCTCTATTAGGCATTGTAAATGCCCAGAGGAGGTTGTAACCATGCAAAGTATGCTGTTCTGTTAAATTTTGGAAAGATTAGTCTCGTACAAGATGGTAGGAGAGTGTGAGATGTTCTGGAATCACATCCACAAACGTGGCTAAAAACATTTCCACTTTAGTTCTTCATTTTAGGAATGGTTAGTGGATGGTTGTAAGCAGAACCCCAACAGCTACAGTATAGAGAGAAAAGGGAAATAACAAATATTCAAGGAGGATAAGGTATAGTAATTAATTTCTCTTGTAACATTAGTAGGCCAGCCTTCTAGAGTAGCCGGACCCCCGGCTGCTGTTCATACTATATGCACACTGTGCATGTGACAGAAAAATTCTGCATTGCCCCCTCCTCCATTCTTAACACTGCCTTTGTCCCATTCACTTTTACCTCTTCCTCAATTTTTTCCTTATTTTCTTTCTTTTGCTTCTGAATCCAAGAGTTGTTGAGTGGGGTAAAGAGAGGGCTCCTGCATGTATCTAATTTTGCTTTTGACTATACCTTAAATGTTTATAGAACTGGTATGTAAGGCTTTATACACCTATTATAGCTGATGTTAATGATTCAGAAATACCTGGTGCCTTGAAAAATAGAGTAAAAATTGGCTGAGCTTGGACTCCTATTGTGAGATGTAGGTTTGGAACTATTAGTATAAATAATAAATAATTAGGTAAATAAATAATAAAAACTATTATTTATTCATGCCCTTAATCATCAGGTCAGAACATTTTCATAAAACTATTTGTTTAGGTTTGATGCTCACATAGGTTTTTTTTGTTTTTGTTTTTGTTTTTAACTAGGAAACACATTTAACGAAATGGCAAAGTGGGTAAAGCAGGACAATGAAACAGGGATTTATTATGAGACATGGACTGTGCAAGCCAGCCCAGAAAGAGGGGCAGAGACATGGTTTGAATCCTACGACTGTTCTAAATTTGTGTTAAGGACATATAAGAAGTTGGCTGAACTTGGAGCAGAATTCAAGAAGATAGAAACCAACTATACAAGAATATTCCTTTACAGTGGCGAACCTACCTATCTGGGAAATGAAACATCTGTTTTTGGGCCAACAGGAAATAAAACTCTTGCTTTAGCTATAAAAAAATTTTATTACCCCTTCAAACCACATTCGTCAACTAAGGAATTTCTGTTCAGTATCTTGCAAATTTTTGATGCAGTGATTGTACACAGAGAGTTCTATTTGTTTTATAATTTTGAATATTGGCTTTTACCTATGAAATTCCCTTTTATTAAAATAACTTATGAAGAAATCCCTTTACCTAACAGAAACAAAACACAGTCTGGTTTATAAAATTTTAATTCTACTGCTCTTTTTTTCTGTCACCAGCATATGTGTTTTTCAAGGGGTGATTACATTTGTGGATTTCCTAGGCTTTTCTGTCTTGGAGCAGAAATGCACCTGGGCAGAACGGCCACCTATCATCTCAGGACTGTTCTTCGAGAGAAGCTGAAACACTGCATTGGCCAAAGTGAGCACATTAGGTGACCTTGATTTCAAACTCCAAGCCTCTGTTAATAAGAATTATAGTTCGTATCAGATATGTAGGATCTTTGGGCCCTGTGTTTTTTTAAATAGTGGATATGGTATGCCAAGATTTTTTAAATACCCTCAGTGACATTCATGATGGGAGGTACTTTTTTCTGGTATGGTGTTAACGCTTTTTCAGTATTTTTTGGTGGTTTAGACTGACTTGACAGCTTTTATAACTTTGGGGGACCAGGTCTAGTAGTTTGGTTTTGTTCTATTCACTTAAAGACCAATTTGGACATTTGTGCTTCTGGATGAGGTACAGTGTTAAAGAGCACAAGTTTCCAGCTAGCATTTTAGAATTAGCTAGTAACTGGCATTTTGTGATTTAGGCAGATGAGCATTTCTGAACCTTAGTGTCCTTATCCTTGAGATGAGTCGTCTTGTCAGGATTGTTGTAAAGGTTGAAGCCATATATGTTTGTCATAGGAAAGTTAAAGTAAATGGTCGCTATAATGATGATTCAAAGAACAAAGTGCCATCTTTGACTTGGCCTAATATAGTTTACATGCCAACCTTTCGTGGGTTTTATGGTGATACCCTAGACTTTGAGCTGGCAGTTGAATGCGTCTGCAGTGCTTCAGACCCAAGGGACACAGAAGTATCTGACTGCGGATGCACCTGGGTGAGCAGGCACCCCCTGGCTCCCCTACTCCTCTGGTAGTCCTTCCACCCAGTAGAGATGCCAGCTCAGTAGAAGAGGGTACACTTCTCAGACAGGGGACAGGTTTTTGTCAAGATCTCCAAGTAGCTGTGCTTCCATTTAGGGCCATCAAACAAGGTTTCAAACCCTTAGTTGGATGATCAACTGAACACTGTTCATAGAAAAAACACGAGTCAGTAAGATGGTGAAGCAGAGACAGACAATCTGTTTAATACATAAATTATGTTATTTAGTTTCTACTAACAGTTGAATGCCTCTTGAGAAGTTAGATACATTATCATTGAGTTCTCTTAATCCAGATGATGAAATTGGGGCTTAGAAGGTTGAATGACCCTTCCCTGGCTACCCAGCTAATGGTAACGGAGCCACATCTGAACCAGTTCTGTTGACTGCGTGGCATACATTATGAAGTGACGTTTAGTTGTTTTCCTCAGACCAATGCCCGTACCACAGGTTACCAACACTAGGTTACTAGTCAACTAGATACTGAAACATTATTTTAAATCAACTTATTGGAGTAATTTTGTTTCTGTTGAATCTAATTTTAAAAAAAATGGCTTGTATTTTGTAGGTCTTTTATTTCATTTGTCTAGGAATTCATTTTTATTGACTTTTTAGGCACTACAAAAAACCCAGCCCTTCACCACAGATAGCTTGAGAAGCACTGCAGTACTCTGCTTACTGCAGCACAAAGGCAGTCTTGCTCAAATACATGGGAAGAACTTTGTTTCACTGCTTACCATTTGGCCTATGAACTCATGTTAATAGTGCCTAAACATCCCTAATTAAGTTTGTCCCTTTAACCTGCTAGTTTAGTTGTCTTCAGAATGTCACAGATGTGGATCTTTGCATTACCACCACCTAGTGGCTGAATTCGGGCAATGCCAACTTTTACTGGATTTTTAGGAAAACTCATCTGGGAAAACAGAATTTTGGATTTTCTAGAACTGCACTGGGCAAACAAGCAAAAACTCCTGTGCCACATTTGTGTTAACTCTAAAGCACAGAACTTGGTTCTGTAGCAAAGACAAATGAGGACATCTGGATGTGGAACTTGAATTTTAAAGCAAGATTCTAGTTTAAAAAAATTCAGTATTTTTCAGTTCCTAAGAATATTAACAAATGAAGGAATTCTCTAAAAATAACGTAGACTTGGGTGACTAGAGCACAGAGCATAAAAATCACATTAGTACTTCAGAATTTATCAAACTTGTCAACTGTACTTATAAAATGAAGTAGGGCTTCTGGAGTAGAGATAGAATGAACATCCTTTCAAAATGGCTAGGCAGGAATTTGCTGATTAAATTTTGCTGCCCTTTGACCTGCTATATAACTTAAATGTGATTTCTATTTTTCTGTTAGTTTGTTATGAATGTGTAAAATTTCCTGTAAGATTGATTTAAGGCTTGGGAATAAATATATCCCCACTTACTAATTCTGGCTCAGTGTTAAGAAAGTATCCCACAAAGTGTCATCAAATATATTTTAATGGTTACATACAGGGGAACAGTCGAAAGGTTAAAATACTATTTGGAACCTTTGAAATCGGGAAAAAAATAAAGTCTTTGGAAATTGCATCTAGTTTTATAATCTGGTCTGGTGGTACTTAATGAATTTTGGGGGGACTTCATTTCCTTTAAGATCATTTATTTTTTATTTTTTAATTTATTTGACAGAGACAGACAGAAAGGGAACACAAGCAGGGGGAGTGGGAGCGGGAGGAGGAGGCATCCAGCTGAGCAAGGAGCTGGATGCTGGATCCCAGAACCCTGGATCACAACCCGAGCCAAAGGCAGATGCTTAAGGGCTGAGCCACCCAGGTGCCCCTCCCCCCCCCTTCCTAAAGGAATTGTTGGTATGTTATACAAAGAACAGTGTTCCAAGAGCACACACACATTTTGGCCAAAGTTTGTTTCTAGCATCTTCCTACTTACCCTTCACTATCCAGGTAACTTCCTGTGCTCTCAGATTTGCCTATCTACATTTTCTCCCCACTACTTAATAAAGCCTTTTACTGGACTGATTATTCTAAGGATAAGCTCTTGGTTCACTTTTGGAATAAACGGTTTTGTGTCTATTGTGTCCTATATGTCCTTGTGTTTAAAGTATAGTTTGGTGTCACGAAGCAGGTAAAATTTTTCTAGCTGCTTCATAAACTGAAGCTGGAGTCTGCAAAGACTGTTCCATTTTGTATGGGGTACAGATTACTTACAGCTTCTTAAAGGACCTAGTTCAGGCCTGGAGCCTTCTTCACACCAACCCCTCCCCTCCCATTTATCTATTCTAACCTCTTCTGTAAATATAAAAATTTCTTTAAATGTGTAAATTGACTTATCTTTAGTCGTGCCTGTTTTTTTTGTTTGTTTTTCTAATAGAATTGTTAAAATAGCCCAGATTACCAAAGGAAACTGAAGTTATTTTCTGGAAGCTGTGAAGACAGGAAATAAAACAATCTCAATAGTTTAGCAACTATTCTGGTTGGGACAGCTGGGTGGCATGGCACAGACCATCAAGCGTCATACTCAGGGTTGTGATCTCTTAAGTCATAAGATTGAGTCCCAGGGAGAGCCCAGTGAGGCTCTGTGCACAGCACGGAGTCTGTTTAGGACTCTTTCTTCCTGTGCCCCACCCCCCAGCTCTCTCTCTAAAATAAAACTTAAAAAAAAAAAAAAAAACTATTGTGATTGTATGGATTTATAGAAGACATTTCTCTATGAAAAAACTACCTGGGTTTAAGGCCTTTTATGAATTCTGTTTTAAGGGTGCCTGGGTAGCTCAGTCCTTAGGCATCCGCCTTCGGCTTGGGTGGTGATCCAGGAGTCCTCAGATAAAGCCCGGCGCTGGGCTCCTTGCTCAGCGAGAAGCCTACTTCTCTCTCTCCCACTTCCCCGCTTGTGTTCCCTCTCACTGTCTCTCTCTGTCATATAAATAAAATCTTTAAATATTTATTTATTTATTTATTTATTTGAGAGAGAGAGAGAGACAGAGAGAGAATGAGCGTGGAGAAGGTCAGAGGGAGAAGCAGACTCCCCATGGAGCTGGGAGCCTGATGCGGGGCTCGATCCCGGGACTCCAGGATCATGACCTGAGCCGAAGGCAGTCGCTTAACCAACTGAGCCACCCAGGCGCCCCTAAATAAAATCTTTAAAAAAAAAATTCTATTTCAAAACATCTGTTTTATAATTCTTCTAAAAGCAGAGTCTATTCTTTTTAATTTAACCATTTTCCTTACACAATTTGAAAAATAAATTGACATTTCACGGTCATTTCCTATCACTTTGGTCATCAGAGTTTATCTCAAGAAAAGATTTCATTTGCCTTAACTTACATCTTCAAAACAGTCATTCTACCATAAACTTAATATTAAACACTGTATTTATCAAATACAAATCCGAAACAAAAACCATAAGTTTGTATGCTTAACTTGTTGGAAAATCAAGTACGTATTTTAGGGTAGTTTTTAAAAATTATAATAATACAACAGTGTTAGTAACTATCTTTATTCTCAAATCGATAAAAGCATTTAACATATACTTTACAGTATAAACAAAGTAAGTGCTACGCATTTTGCTTATAAAGTGACTTAAGTATTTCAAGCATTATATATTTCAATTTGTACAAAAAAGTACATTTCCAAATAAAGCTTTGGTTAGTAGAACTCATTATGTACTGTCAAATCTATTGTCCAAAGTTGTTCAAGGAAAAAAGCTTCATCCACTAACACAGGTATTTCTTATACAAAGCTATTTACTATTTAGTAAGAGGGGAAAATATTACAATAATTGCTTTTCATTTCCAAGTCTGGATCAGCCTTTTTTCTTCTCATTTATATGTGGCCAGAATACCAAGACTTTGAAAAATCACCTTTTACTTTATTCTTAGGAAGGTAATCTATTTAAAAAATAGATTAGATCTGTAAGACTGTTAGTTTCCATAATTACCAAGATGCTTTCTAACTATTTCAAGCATTATTGTATTAGTACATTGGGATAAATCACTTCTAATTTCTTTAGAAGGTGGTATCTACTAGCACTAGTGCTCAGAATCAAAGCTTATATAATACCTAAAAAAACTAAATGTAGCCCCAAACTTAGTATTTTTACAGCAATGTGTGGATTACCTTTTATTCATATGAAAGTAATAAAAATGCTACCTAACTTAAATAATATAAAACAGCATTTTAACCAAATTAAAAATCACAAAACTTAAGACATTTTTCTATTAAAATTTTCCAGTCCACTGAGCAATATTTATTCAAAAATATGATTATGAACTTAAATATATCCTCTTTTAAGTTTACTTGTTTATGCTAACCTGTACACTGGTGCTCCTTTTATGGTTTTTGAAAGCCCTACTTATGTAACTATTTAATTCCAAAATGGAAAAATGAGCCATCACTAAAATTCACTGGAGAATAATATTCTTTCATGGAAATAATTTATAAACATTTTAAAGTTCTACCTTTAATTACTTCAATCTGGCTTTATTATATAGATAAGCTTTTCATTTCAATTACTGTATATTTCAAAACTAGCTTGAACAAAGAAACAAAACCAAGGAGAACTGGTAAA